GCGCTGTGTGTCTTTCTCGCCTTCCACGCGTTCGTGCTGCATGTTCCGCCGAGCTCGTCCTCCATTTTATTGCCGTGAGTTACCTGTTATGAAGCACTTTTCTGCAGCCTCCTGTCACCCCCCCCCCCCCAATTGTTCTCAAGCACCGTCATTGTACGTTCTTCTCTTAAAATGCGAGGCCATGTTTCACACCGAAACAGAACTTTTAGTTTCGTATGTTCGTAATATTAGTTTTATATAAATCGTTACTTATTTCAAGACACTGCATCAACTGTGATTTCAGATTTCACGTGCTAGGGGTAGATCATAGACTTAAGGAACGTTGTTGTATTAAGCTGACTTAACACCGCGTCACTTCTATTCTCTGGAGCGGCTCTGAAGTCTCCTCAGTAAAGGCTGGTTGACATTGAGGGACGGGAGGGCATGATCGGTCAAGTCATTTAAGACCAAACGTAGAGCCGTCCTCTCAATAGCGATCTCGTTGGATGGACAAGAAGCGTTCGCACTCGGAGGTCGGATCTCGATTGCGTACGGGATTAGACACCTCGGGTCACCCAAAGAGGCGACTTCTGTGCCAGCCTCTCAGCTGCTGTCGTCACTTCCGATGACAGCCGAAGTCACATCGGAGGAGCGGAAACCGATTAACATCTCGACGTGATGACTGACGCAAAGTACCTCCGATTGTGTGGTATGGACGACGAGGAGTCGGTTGGTTGATTTATTGACTGTCTTAGTCGGTGCCAACGTCGAACTATTTGATTGTAGTAACAGGTTTTGCGGCGACGCCTTGAGGAAGGGACAGATGGCAGGTCGGCGAGGAGACAAATGAAGCAGGCAATGAATGCCCGGTTCGTTTTCTGCCTTTTAAATTTGTTGAAATTCAGCGAAGGAACATATTAAGTTAAAAAGACAAACGCATATAAATCATTAACTATGTTCTTTGTGCGGGTCGTAACAAAGATGGTGGCCACTTTTACGTATTAGTTGTTGTTTATTGAGATAAGCCTCGTTAATGGTTTCGCACTGTCATGGAACCGATACTTCCATAGAAATGAAATCTTTTACTTAAGTATCTTTGCTGCTCGTGCATCTTCGCACGCGTTCCCACCAAAATTGTGCATTTCACCTTCATCTGGTTTTGAATTATATCGTAAAAAAGAAAACCGCGCAGAACGCAAGCAGCCAGGACGACTCTTTCTGCATTTTCGGGGCTTGCCTTAGTGTTCTCTGATTTTATCTGAGTCTTTGGCTTAGGATGCCGAATACCTTGTCGCAAGTTGTTCTTGCCGTCGGCGGCACGCAGTCACCGTCAAGCTGAAAAGCAGGATTCGGGCGCGTAAGTTCGAAGTGGCGAAGTCTCGTCCCCAACTACGATTCAGGGGAAGTGATTTATTTGTTTCAGGAAATGGTTTTCGTGCACTGTCTTCTAAGTACCTGGCCGTGTTGGAATAAGCGAAGACGTCATTATCGCTTTTCTTTCCGGTAGAACCGACTTACTATACGCGTCCATTGCAGTCACTGAACTGGACGGAAGCTGAAGATGATGCTGTTTTATGAGCCTGCAGTTGCGTCATGCCTCGAACAGACGGAAGAAGTGTTAAAAAAAAGTTAATCAGAATCGAAGTGTAACACTGTCCTTTGTACGGGCTTTCAGAACGCAAAGGGAACTACGAAGAGTGGACAAGAATTTGGAACCAACTAAAGCATGAAAATGTGAATATCGCATGTCCTTTCTAATTGTTTAATTTGTGTTCGTCAGATTTTAAGATCACTTAATGGCGTCCCCACTGAGTTCCAGAATGAACCTGGAAGCTTAACCAGTGACGTCAATTCAGAACGTTCGGCGTCTGCCCTCTTCCCGACCTCCAAGAAAACAATCGTCCTCCAGTAAAGCTCCTCGGGCTTTACAAACTAAAGACGATTAAATTATTTTAAATAACAAATGTCGGAACATTAGACGCAGTCGTAAACGTTCTTTTGTAGTTATACTCGCGGTAGAAATGTGTTCGAACTTCGAAGTACTCATGTTTGTGTTTCGCAGGGTCTTTGCGCTGTTTTCGAAACAGTGTAGTTTGATAGGAATTCATTCTGCGTCCACGTATCGTATTTTTCTTCGTTCTCTTTTCCTTGATTTGTATATAAAAGACTTTGCTCTCGAAGTGTCGTCGTGGGACGTACCGCATCGGTCCCGTGTCCCGTCCGAGACCTGATCGAGACCTGACTCGTCCATCCCCGGAGTGTGAACCAGCCTTAATTAATGCAGCTCGAAGCTCGGTGTGGGGTCTCTGGTCCGTTGCCAGGCATTTGAAATAAGTCGCATCACCAGCAAGGCGCCGAGATCATCATTGTGCATGCACTTCCGAAACCACAATTTCGGCGACAGTAATTAATTTCCTTTCGATACGTCACATACATCGATAATTTAAATTCTGGATGCAGCAATGCGTAAAATATTACGTATTTTAAGTATTGTTTAAAAGAAGACACAGCCAAATGCAAAATTTTGTTTTGTTTCCAGAATTGGTGGTTGTTGCAGCAGGGACATTTTGGAATATTATTTTGTTTAGCGTGAGAATATAAAGAACTAAAAAGCAGTTATCACGTGAAGACTACGAAAGCAACGCTGATCCAGCCCCGGTGCTAGGTTATTTAGTCCACGAAACTAGTGCTAGGTTCAATCTAAACTCAGAAGAAATTTTTCGGAATGATGCCCGAAAGTGTGAATGCAATTTCTCTTAGATCCCCCTCGACTCATTTCACATTTCATAAGAACTGACTCGAGGGACTGACTGGCTTCAAGAATGCGAAGGTATTCTGGATTTGCAGATGGCGTCAGATAGCCGCAGTTCTCTCGACTCTTGTTTCCGGTTAAGCCGTACGCTGACAGTGGCTTACCCAGTTTTCACAGCATGGGATTTTTATTAAATTTTTTGAAAATAATTAATGATTTCGAAATCAAATAAACTTGGAATTTAGTTCTACGGGTTCTTCAAGTGTGCTCTGTGCCCTCGTTTGTACTTTCGTGGTTTCACCGAGTCACGCGAGAAAAGTGGCCCCAGTAATCTTTACAATTACTTTTGCGAGAGATACATTGGCCGAAGCTAATGTGTGTAGTTACCGTTCTTCTGTTTCGTCCCTGGGCCACAGTGGACGCAGCCTAGCGCGAGGGTAAGTTTTATGAATCGTGATTTTTCTTCTCCGGTCTGTTTTTTTCTGAAGTGTGTGTCAAACGGCTGTTCAGCTTTTGTTGAATCGCGTCGTGACTCAAGAGGGCGGAGTGGCGAAGCTATTGGAAGATTTTCATAGGAAACGACTCTGATGATCTGCCCCTTCACAGGCCCAGTGACGAGGTTGTGGGCAGCCCACTGCAGTGCCCCGCACCCATATCTCGTCTCAGGGTGGAGAAGATCGAAGGCGGCCTCATGGTTGCCGGAGTGGTGGTCGCAGCGAACTGCCAGGTGGCTCTTCCGGCGTTCGGCTTCTTGTTCATCCTGGTGGGCGCCGTTCTGACCGCGGCCTCGTACCGCGGTCCGGGGCAGGGCGAGGGCCCAGACCACTACGCCGCGCGGATCGCGTTCACAGGCAACTCGCGCGTCCTGGGCCCAGCCTGCATCGTCGTGGGCGCCATCATGCTCGCTGCAGGGGTGATGCTGTGCATGCTGACGAGGCGAGCTAGGAGGCGAGAGCGAAGGGTTGGCTTTCACTGCCCTCTGCACGGAGACTTCTACCCTCTGAGCCCAGTCTCGGGGTCCAGGTCCCTCGGTGAGTTCGCGAAATATTTTCCTCAGGTACCCGCTTCAGAGCGGCAGATGCGTACAATGAAACACGTTTGCAGCCGCGACGTAGCTAGAAAAGAAATAAAACTTCCGTAGTGTGCGTGTGGAAGTCAGCACTAGGATTCCAATCACATGTAGGAAGTATCAAATTTTTTTCATTTTGAGTTACTACAGTGAGACGTGTTAAAACGCGTCTAACCCAAGTACTTACTTGCTGCAATGAAACTCTACGTGTGTTCACAGACTTGTCTTAAACGGCATCGAAGTTAGGTTAGTTGACATTAGGATTCGATCGTGATACGCCATAACCAAAGATATCTAGACCTGTGAGTTGTTTAAACACCTTACTCTCCTTTCGTGATATGTTGGGGATTTATTAATTTTGAGTAAAAATAGAACACGAACATTTTAGGAATTTACAAAATAATAATATCAGCGTAAATGACCCTTGATGTGTAGATGAATACTACTCGTAATTTGTTCTCGGCCGCTTGCATTACACGATACCAACTTCGACAATGTTTCTGAGCTCTGGTGAAAGCAATGGGAGAAGGCAAATGGGTTGATTTCATTTATAGATCTTCTTCACTCACAGCTAGAGCAAACCTTATGCCTTATACCTTGTGTAATTTACAGTGAGGACAAATGTAACTCATTTTCGCCATAGTGTGTTAACAGATTTATTCCAGAAATGTATTAAATTGTGAGAGTGTATTGCAAGCATTTGGCTGCCAGTAAGAAAATTTTGACTCAAGTGTTGGATGGAGAAAGTGCAAGTGCATCTTATTAGGTCATTTTTACCATGCAGATGCAGCCTCAATTTTGCTTTGCAGGCATGAAAGGGAAACCTGTGTCCCAATGGACACTCTGCTGGAGTCAGGGGACTAACGTAAAACCTGGCACATTTGGAGGCCCACCACAGTGCCCCCACAGCACTGTGTCCAGCACTAGGAGTTCTGTGAGCAGTGCCCCGGCTTCACCATGCCCCACACCCCTGCCATTTCTTGTTACATCAGGATCCATCAGGTAAGAAGCATGGAAAATATTTCTTGCCTTGCTAAATGATAAGGCTTATAATTGTAAGACTTTGATAACTGATAGTGGATTCCTGAACCCCCACCTTCCCATAAGTCCTGCTTTGACTAACTTTTTTCTATCATAACACCAATGCTCTGCAATAGACATCAGTACTTGGCACAGCTGGAATCATGAATATTTCAAATTTCTTGTATACTGTGCTGAACATTCCATGACATCTCTTTGTTTCTCTTATCAGCAGTGGCATGGTGCCATCTGCTGTGGCTAACCTGTCTCCCGACCAGACATTTGGGTCAATCCGATCCCTGTCAGTGAGCCGGGAAGTTGCGAGTTTTCCTCTGTCGAGGACGCCTACGCCACCCCCCGCCATGGAAAGGGAAAGGTGAGCTTATATCAGTATAAATTCCTCTGAATGCCATAAACTATTTAGTACTTAAAAACACTTTGAGCAAAGATGGCAGACATTTTAAAACTGTAAGAGGTTCAGTAATTGGATCCATGAAGTGTGTGTGTGTGGGACTTCACTTTTCACATCATCGTCAGAGTTTCGCTTGAAGTGATGCATCCCATTCTTCAGCTCATACCTGAGGTTAGTAAATCATTACAAAGCTTAGAACTCAATCTTCTATCTGCAGCTGATGGTGTCAAATCTCTCCATTCTGCTCTTGCTGCAATGAGAAATGATGAATATTTTCAAGAGCTGTACAAGAAAATTAGTGAAATTTGTGAAAAACATGATATATGTATTCCAGCTGTTAAAAATAAATTCTTGCCATGTTGACACTGTAAATACACAGTCTATTCTGGAATATAAATTAATCCATTTTACCAATTATTGGACACCACGGTAATAGAATTCGACTACACATTTAAAGAAGAAACATTAAATGTAATAACTGTGATGGGTAACCTTTTGAATTTGAATATTACAAAAGACCAACAAAAGATTTTGTCCGAGACATTTGATGTTTTTGTATACAAATTGGGAGGAAAAATAAGGATGCTGTGAAGTGACAATTCCGTTCCAAAAGCTAGTACTTTATCATGATTTTACAGTGGCTCCTGTTCCTTATTCATGGGAAAGGGCATTCTCAAAGTTATCTCGCATAAACAAAAAACTACATAGTTTTCTTCTTTGTCATTGGCACATCCTACTAAGTGACTTTAATTCTGCCTATGCCATAAATCCTAGAGAGATTTTTCCTTTATTCTTTTCGCCTGTCATCAGAAGTATTTGCCCATCTTAATTAAAAGTAACTTTTATTGTGTGATTATGGATCAGTCAAAAGTGGATGAAAGTGATTTCACCCATTTTTGAAAGAAATTTGATTAAGAATAAATAATCTGTTTAATAATAGTTCTGTTTAGTTTCTAACATTATATAATATTATATAAATGTAAATAAATAGATACATTTGCAAACAAAGTATTATTTATATCAAAATATAGAAGCAGTCTGAGAGACCACACCATACTAGTTGTGAGATTTTGTGGCACCAGACCACTTAATCTTATTCTTGTGCAGGTACAAGTGGTCTTTAACATACACCACCTAAAGTAACCGGATATTTGTTATTTATTTTATCAGGATGACAAGCCCAACTTTGGGTGCAGCAGATGAATCTTCTTCCCTGACCTCAGCCACCACCAAAAATGACCTTCCACCAGTACTTGCACCACTATCACCACGTAAACTCCGATCACCACAGCGAGAAATTACAGTGGTTGCACCAATCACCATACAACCAAGTGTGCAGCCATCTCAGAGCCACGAAGCAGTCAAAGCTACAACATTTGCCATCACAAGAGGCCCAAGGAAGTCTGTGTCGATTGTCCTCCCTGATGAAGAAAATGGATGACCACTCACATAGAAAAGAATGGGGCTTACATTCAATTGTGTGCATTCTTGATAAAGAATGTTTTAAATGTGTAGGCAATGAATTTCATGTGGTATGTGTTCTATTAATCTTGGTAACTTCAAGTGAAATGCATTGAACATACGAAAGTGAAATTAAATGGAACAAACAGTGCAGCTTTTGTTGTGTTGGAAAACACGAATGTAGGTCAGCAGTGTTTTTCATTTTGGAATGGATTAGATTTAAGGTCCAGGTGTGTAATTGCTGCATTGCCAGTTAAACATGGGTGCAATTTGACAGAGAAGGGGAGAAATGGATTTATAAAAGCCAGCTGGTTTCAGTCCATTATGTATGAATTACAATATATGGAGATTAAATGAGAATTAAGAGCATACATACATACAGCTGTGCACATGATCAACTCTTGCTTCAGAATACATTATAATATAAGTAGCAGATATAGCTGTACTAAAAGGAATGTAAGCATAATAATTCTTTAAATTCATTTAATTCCATTGGTAATTCACTGTTTAAAAGTCATACATAATTAAATGGCATCCTCAGAAGAGAAAGATTAAGAACCAACCAATATTATCATTAAGGGTATGTTACTCTTAAGAGAAGAAGTCATGCCCCCAAGTTCCTAATAACATTACCAGCTGAGGATTCCGAGTGATATTTAAAGGAAAACTCAAATGACAATACTTAATGAATTTCCATCGTTTCACTGATTTCCCAGAATGATGTAAAGAAGCATCAACAGACAAAATTGAGACTAGTAACCACATATGATTCTGTCACATTGATAGAGGAATGTACCAAAACATTTTATGTGTGATATTCAGGAATTGACTGAGCTGTTGAACTTGATGATGATTGCCATGAGTACAAATGACAAAGATGATTATATGAGCTGGAACTTCAGGTCCATAATATATTGCGATGATCTATGATGAAAGCATAGGAGAGAATATGAAATGCATGTAAGATCGCACCACTGTGCTAGTAGCCTTAAAGATCGTTTTAACTCTGAATCCTTTACTTGTTTAGGAAGGATCTCATCAATTATGTTCTACATGAAATGGCCTGTCATACAGCTACAACTTAAACACGGGTGGCTAAGCTAGACACAGTTTGATACAGTGACAGAGCAACGTAATGAGAGTTATGAAATTGTGTTATAGGAAAACAGAAACACGCAGACTGAATGTTGCAGCTTGTATTGAGATTGTATCTTACATTTCAACTGTTTGATAATTTGATAATCATATTTTATTTCTCTTACTATAGAAAATATAGCAGTACATTTATTTATTTATTTATGCTTTCATAGTTTTTGAAATCTTATTCATGACTTAATATCAATGATACGTAAGAAAATGTTTACAGTGAGTTATATTTATAAAGTTAAAATTTCATGAGTAAATATTCATTGTAATACAGTGAAATTCAAAACTTTAGAGACTGTGACAATCACTTTGCTCACACCAAGGCTTGTACATAAAAATATTTTAAATGGTTTTTCAACATTTGTTGATCATATTTCTTAAACATATCTTTGATCTACATTTTCTAATATTCTTTCTCATTTAATGAATGTGATATTGAACATTTACATAGATATCTCTATAGCTGAAAAGGTATTCTACATTGTTTAATTTCAAGGTCAAATAATAAATACATTGGATTTCATATGTTATAGACAAAGTCTATAATTCAGGCATTGTATAAAAGTCTGTAATTTTTTGGCAAAGTATAAAATTAACGTGCTTTGAGTGCGTTGTTTTACCATTTCTAGACGCCATGCATGAACATGCACTCACACGCATGCCCACACATAAGCAAATGCAAAAACACACAGATGCAGGCATATATGCATGTATGTGTGTGCCCACACACAGTATTCTACAGAATGTCAAGAGAGATTTAGGTAAGTGTTAATAGGATTTATACAGAATCTTTTGAAACATATTGGAAAAAAAGTATGATAAAGTAAATGTGTTTTTATTAATTACAAGCAAAGAAAATTAATGGAGTAATAAATGTGAAAACAGAATGCGTAAGTGATTGTCACAATATTACTACTTACTGAAGTCCAAATGAAATGGAAATAATAATTGTAAAGAAAAAGACGTTGTTATGTGTGATAGACAGTTCACAACACCAAAGCTGAATGACAGTCCAACACATCAAATTTGGAATGGCATTTATGTTGACAGAAAACTTAGTTTCTAACACAGATACTTCATACGTAGAACATTGCTGTGCAAGAGCATTTCATAAATCTGTGGCCAGTTCCAGCTGATTGCTGTGTAGCAACAGACCTAAGTGATGGGTACTCTATTCTTCTCATTGCCATCTAAACTCAGGGAATCCTTTTGCATTTAGAAAATTGGAATCTGGAGTATGACCACTTTGAAATACCACGTCTTGTGTGAAAGTGATGGAATCCAGCTCCATAACATCATCCAATATGTTATGAGCATCTTCTTGGCCTTTATCAGCTTCTGAAATTGACACTTGGACACTGGATCCTTGTTCCACTGGAGGAAAGTTGTCTTATGACTTTTTCATTCTTTTTTCTTATTGGATAAGATTGTCTTTGACTGCTTCTTGCCGTTTGGTCACACTTTTGCTTCTACTACATAATGGATATACCCTTCAATTTCTTCAGAATTAATTCCACAAATGATTTGAATATGAATCCACAGCCTTCTCACTTATGAACGCCATTGTTCTCTTCTAAGCACAGAACACAGAAATTTATTGGCTGTCGAAATTTGTTCCTTTTACATGAAATGTATTTCTGGAGCATCAGCAACATCATTATCATCAGCTGAACTTCCTCTGGATCATCTTCTGGCACACTGTTCTGTAAAGTATATCAAAGTTTGATGTGTGTAGCCCAACCTTAACTTTGCTATCAGATATTACCTCAGATGGCCATCTTTTAGTACCACCATGAAAGATTGTGTTCTTCATGACTGAACAAATCACACACATTCATTCCAGTGGCAATTCCTTCATCCTGTGTCCATGATGTCAACATTTCTTCATTGTCCTGGTTAATCGTCTCAACACATTCCTGGCTGTATTGGGGTTTTCCATGCACAGTTATAAGTAGTGGCCAGTAATTATCAAGGCTTCTAACAAATTCCTTCCCATTGTCAGACTGCAATACTGATGGTGTTCCTGTCAATGTAAATATCAATTATGTGATAGGCTACATCTTCTGCTGGTTTATAACAAAGGGCTTTGAGATTCACAAATTTTGTGAGATACTCTTAATATACCAGCATGAATTATTATCACCACATACTGAGACTGCAAATCATGACAAGGTATATTCTTGCACATATTTGAAAGTTCCATAAACATCTTGTCTGTCCACAACATCCAATAGAAATATGTGTTCCCTGAAGCACATAAGATATTTTGCTATGCTACTCCCTTCATCTACTGGCAATATAAGCTTGTTCTTTAGTGCACAGCCAGCACATTAAACCTTTCCAGAGACCAATAATGACAAGGCCGCTTTCTTCCCAAGCTTTTGGCATTGATCACTTCTCTAACTAGCTCTATGTAATGTTCAAAGTTCTGTTTTTGGCTGCAATGCAATTACTTTTGTTTACTTCTGCTTAAAACCATTGTTTTGTAAGTTCAGTGACTTCCGTAATCACTATTTTGAAAGAAACTCAGCAAATAATGTGATTAAGAAGAGTCACAGACTTCTTTCAACATGTAATGCATTATATATATATATATATATGTATGTATGTATGTATGTTGCTGACTTAACAGTGATTATTTGGGAAGGGTTGAATTTGATAAAAGTCTTAATAACAAATGGTAAAATAATAAAAGTTATAAAAGTGAAGATAGAAATTGTGGCAAGAAGTGGTGATTTTTGTTTTAGATATTGCTGTGCAGAATTTTAGACGTTATCAATTGAAATAGATCTAGACATGATTGAATTGTGAGATGCCCAGCTTGATAAGTGTCTTGTTTGAAGATACTGATGAATAAAGAGGAAATTATGATGTGAAGCTTAAGATCAGGGATGTAGGTGCGATCCAAAGTTTACATTGTGTAACTGTAGGTGAGTACTGATGGAGCACCCTGGTGTATGTGAATTCAGGGCAGTGATTGGAGGTATCCCATGGAGAGATGTGTCTTAGACAGGCAGGTTTGAGGAGTTACCCAACAACAGGATACAACCATTTAAGATTAAAATTGTTGTGTTCATTTAACATAAGACTGACATTGGATAAAATGCCTATGCAAACTTTGAAACCAAAAGAGTTTCTTATACTTTTTGGCATTTTATACAATTCAGAGTCATTTTATACAATACAGGATTTTGTACTTTGCCTGTAACATGGACATATGTCATCAGCAGTAGGTGGATTTTGGTTCTGTTTATTTTCAGTCATGCCAAAAATCATAAGCAAGCATTCATGGTCAAACATTTGGCTACCATTGAATAAAATATCAACATAAAGAATGCTCAGAGGCTCGCATGTTACTGAGATATGAAACAATTTTTATATTAACCCCAAACTTTTAAAGTATTCTCTAATGTTCTTAAAGTGAAGTCTAGTTAATACAGATGGTGAAAATCAGCATTATTTTAAAAAAAGGCTTATCTTTACCTTTAATTATTCATGAACAAAATTGTATTAGTGACATGGGGATTGTGGAGGTTATGTTAGTAGTTTTATGTATTGGACTTTCATCGTGTTCACAGGAGGCCGTATTTATGTTCATGTATAATATTAATGACAATACAAGTTTGATCTTCAATTGTTTGTTAGTAATAGAAAATGTCCCATTTTGTTTTGTGCTACTGGGGTTTTCATATTATGTGTTTCTGGAAGTCTGAGATTTGAAAGCCCTTAATGTAGGTTAAGTACGTGCATGTCTTACAAAAATGACATTTTGAAAAATATTGATATTATATCTGTGCTGAAGGAACTACAATATTGCTTCCCTTAACAGAAACTGGGTCTGTGTGACTTCATGTTATCAGATACAGGAAAACATTCACCTTGGTTAGACCATACATGCATTCTATCATGATAGTGTAAATGATGCTATACTTAATTATCCATATATCCAGTTCTTGATAGTGTAAAATACCATAGAACAAATTTAATTATACTACAAAATGTTAGAAATTAAAGTAATGGACTGATATCACCTGCATTTTTGGTCAATGATGTACTCCAAGCTCAACATCTTAATTATCACATAATTAGCTTTGTTTCAGATATAATGAATGTGATGCATGATTTGTGAAGTTATTACATTTACACCAATGAAAATATGATCTATAAAATAAGGCACATGTTGCATGTAGGAAACAAACCAGAAATACAGGATTGTGTGATACATTTCTTAATAGAAGAGTAAAAGGTGGCTGTTGTGTCATTTAAAAGACTTATTACACAAAATAATCATGTGTGGTCTAGAGTTTATGGCCTTATGATAAAATATTATTACCAATTCCTTTCTGCACTGTCTCTTTGGGGTATAAAGCAAAATAGAGGATGTGTGAAATAGTTGTAAAATTGTATGCAGATGTGTATAAGGTACCATTAAGTGAAATTTCTTAAAACAACGTTCTTATTTACTGAGACTACAGTAATTTAAACCAGATTTGTGTAAATAATATCACTGATGCCAGCACATAAAATATGAACTATCTGACAGATATGTTGCAAGACATCACAAAATATTCAGAGAAAAAGTTTCACAAATATTAAGATATTTCTCTATTATCTCATTTTGCAAATTCAAAGCCACAAATTTAAGTAATGCTGAACAGTTATAAATACACAGTATGTGTGCCATTAGTTAGTTGTCAATGGCGAGTTTTACATTTCTGTGTGATTTATATCATGAAATAAAATATTTTATGAAATTGTTTGAATTTTGATGTAAGGTTTTAATGTAGGTATGTAATTTGCCCATGTATGATGTGATTATGTGGTTCTTAGAATATCACATACATTTGTTGTGTTCAGTTTTTGTTACCCTTCTGGATGAAAAAGGAAAATCTTTTCAGCATAACAACTGTGATACATTTTTTCTTTGGAAAGGTAGGAAATCTGGGAGTTCTTGCATAGATGATCAGTATCATAACCCAGTGTTTGCAAAATGAATATGATTCGTACTTCCTGTCACAAGATGTGGGTGTGGAGATGGCTAGCTTTTGGGGGTTTTGTGGATCACCTGTTGATAGAGACAGCAAGAACCTCTGAAATGTTGCAAAATTCTACCAGACTATATAGCACAACAGCCTAGAACATTGCTGTCTTCTGGGTTAAGGACCTCTGAAACGTCGGTATACTTCTACAAGACTACACAGCATGATAACCCGGATGACAGCAATGTTCAGACTCACTGCTGTTAGAACCTCAAATCCTACTTAGAAGATGGTGATTTTTTTGTACCCCACCATGAGAACTTGAAATGTCAGTGAGATGTTGGTTGAATGATGTGTGTTAAATTTACATCTTAGAGCTTAAAGGTACAGAAGTAACATTCATGTGTGTTTTGAGATATGAGATTTTGACAATACTGAAAATGTGGATTTGTAGTATTTGGACAATGAGGCTGTGTAATCTCGCAGGTAATTACCAATGGAGGAATGAATCTTCCAGCCATCTTCAGAGAAATGGAAGCTATTACATTCCTCCAAAATGTTGGTAAACACCTACAAGACTATGTGGCAGAACAACCCAGATGTCTACAATCCATTAATACTTTTTTTATTTCCCACAGCAGGCCTTCCAATGTGTTAAGAGTATATGCATAAATATTTGCAAGGTTTCTGTTTACAGCTTAGGAAGCAGGTCATTTGAATCAAGGAGTAACAATTTCTGGAATAAATTTAAAAGTTTTATGATAAAACAACATTAATTTCATGCAAAGAAAACAAATATTTGATTCTGAACAAAACTGTAGCTTTCAACAGCACTAAGAAGCCTCTTTGCATTTTGTCAAACTAACCATGACATAGTAAACCTTCTATTACAATTTTATGAAAATACATTACTTATGATAATTCTTTTACTTACCTCTTTTGAGATTCTGAGGTTATATAGAATGTTTTCTGAAATTTACAACAGTATCTGAAGTTTGTTGTTGCACTTTCTGAAGCAGTTTTGTGTGAGAATCTGTTGTATGTCTAGCAGTTATGTGTAAGAAGAGAAAATGAAACATTGCTATGGATGATAATGATTTAATAATAAAAGGAAGGAGAATGAATTTATAGAGTCCATCCTTGGCATGGCAGTGGGTACACTGTGGCCTGTAGCTTTACAATATGAAGCTATGCCATAAACAGTGGGAAATAGAACCCTATCAGATAGCAGTCATGTAAAGTAACAGAACCATACCTCATACTGGAGTACCTTTCTGTTGTGCTCTGAATGTTAACATACAGAAAATTTTCCATTCACAATATTGATCATTTACTTTAATAACAGCTCATGGTTCATGTTCTGAGCAACACTGCTGTAAACCAATTTTAAATTACTGTTGCTGCAAATCATGAATTGATTAAAAAATATATTGTGCCTGGTATGAAGAATAAAGAATAGGAATGTATTTGACTATATAATTTACTCCTTATACTAGAATTTTAAAAGTAACTATTGCTGAAGATGGTTGTCTTCTGGGTTGTTGTGCTGTGTAGTATGGTAGAAGTTTACTGACGTTTCAGAGGTCCTTGCTGCCGCCATCTTCAGACTCACCACCGTGAAAACCTCAAATCCTACATATTTTGCGGATTCAACATTCCAATGATTATAAATGCAACCAATTTCTGACATATGTTCTATTTGTCAAGAAATAATTTTACTGATATCAGAAAACAAAAAATGTTATATAAAGTGTTGGAAATGTCCATCGAATTCATCAATGCATGCATTTGGTATTTTCCTCTTGTTCGATGCAACCCAGTGAAGATTTTCTGTGTCACAAAAATGGTTTGTCAGATGAGATATTTCCAATTTCTTTGGAACAGGAAGACTGATAAAAGTATCCCCAAACTTATTCTGGCAAGTTATGTAATAATGATATCCAGGTAGTGTTCAACAATGAAAACTTGTTACACTTCTGAAAAAGACGTTCTTGCACCTCGACTGTTTCAATACAACCGACAGATTGGTGTGAGCAGGTTACAGCATGACATAATCTATGAAGGCTCTTGTATAGCCACACTAATTTTGTGTGTGTATTATTCCACTCAAATGTTATTGAATTGGAACCATCAGTGTTTTAATATGGGTGGTGTGACTTTAATTTGATTTTGATATACTGCATTCATTTTACTTCACCTACTACTGAGAAGAATAACTCCATGGAGCATAATTATAATTGAGAAACTAATAGTTCACTCACACAATCAATAAATTTCCCATCTTTTATGGAAGTTCATTATAGTGTTTACAAGAGCTTGCCATGGTTTCTGTCCTGAGCCACATGAATCTTGTTTCTTTATTGAAGTGTTCTCTTCCAAAGTTAGGCATATATCTGTATAAAGACATAGGGCTATTGCATAAGAAACTATGTTATGGTACTACCTTGTATTACCAAGAATATGAATAGGAGGCAAAATATGAATTTGATTACTCTTTTCCCATTAATGACTCGAATTATATATATTGGTAACTTATAATGTAATTAACAGTGCTATCCTTGTAATCATCAGATTGTACATCACTTATTAAAATACAGTTTGTGTGATTGAACACAGGGTTAAATAATATAAATAACAGTACCACTAAAGGAAAATAGATCTTACCTACAGTGATAAGCATAATACTGAATTAATCGTGAAATGATGTGACAGAATATGTACAGTTTCAAACATTACTCTCCTGATACAGGCATCTCAACAGTCCATGTTAAGTTGCATTTGTAAGTGAAGAAAACTTGTGATACAAGCATGTTGCTCAAGTTTTGCACACTAGGGTTGCACTTAAATGCTTCAGAATTGAGGCAGGACAGGCCCATACTGCTGTTAGCTGAGCAAAGGATGAGGCATCTGTCTACTACTCCATCTGCACCCATTGTAGAATGCCTGTTACCTTTTGTCCAGTTTGACCTCCAATATTCCTGCATGGTGCTTGAATAAACACAGGGACAGGTGTACTTCGGTACTTGAGAATTACCTAGCATGATGATCAGGCAGAAAGGTAGAGTATGTTGGAAGCAAATAATCACTTGATGAAAATGTTAATTAACTCAGAATTAGTTTAATACATGTTTTATTCAGCACTAAACTCAAACATGCCCTGAGAGCACTGGTAAGGAATATAAGTTGTTGTTTTAATTTAGTTATAGTTTGTAAGATTTGATGTTATAGTTTATTTAAGAATGTAATACTATCCTGATAATTTTGTTTAATAAAGCAGGCATAGTCTTTGGATAATGAGAATTTGATGAAGCAGCTGACTTATATCTCTGCAAAAGATAACATGTGGATAGTTCTGTGAATCAACCAGTTTATGTATTTTAGATATTTGAGACAGCAGTTTTCAATTCATATACATAATCATTAGTGTTTTCTTGGTATATTACATGTAGTATTCTATGTTTCATGGAAGTTGGAATACTGAAAATTAAAATTAAAACTGACAAGCAATAACAACAGGAACTTCTTTAGTACTTCTGCAGTCAGATAGACTGTGCACAAGCTGGGATGCATGGATATCAAGGCACACATATTATGTTCATGGGTCAATATCTCACTTGGATGTAAATGGCTGTCCACACTTTCCTGTACTGTCTTACAAGAGACTAATTCTCCATCCAAGGAGCCACACATGTCAGAAATATTCTTTCTCTCTGAACTCATTATGAGGTTACACAGGCCACAGTGCCTGTTCTGTGAATAAAATGCATACTAAATTCTTCAGCCATTATGGGTGACCTGTTTCTGTTCAGAATTGCTTTCTGAAACTAATAATCTTATATATAAAACTGAAATTGCCAGTATGTATGCCCACTTATGGCTTGAGAATGGATCCAGCAATTTCCCCCAAACTTTTCATGCCTGTGCCTTGAAACCAGGAACAGATTTCAGAATGAGTGGACAGAATTCCAGAAAAAAAATGTCTTGGGTTGAAGTTCCAGGAACAAAGACCACCACTGAAAATGTTCCCTGGGCTTGAGTCCAAAGGAAATTTGTTTTTCTAACTCAGTAACTAAGCACAATAGTAGAATGATTCTGAGAACAAAATTGTTTATTTCATTACATTAACAAAAGTCACAAACCCTCCTAAAATTGTACTGGGTTGGAGACCCAGTAAGAATACTTTTGTAGCTTCAAAGCTAAGCACAATAGAAGAATGGTGCCTGGATTTAAATAATTTTGGTTGGGAGTTTACAGGAACACAGGTCATAAAACTGAAACCCATCATGGGTTCAGATCCCGATATATATGTTTGGTTTAAGAATAATAATTTTTTTCTATGTTGCTCAACACTAAATGCCAAAAGATAAAGCTTTTGGGCAATAAAAGTTCATAAAGAAATATACATATTTGTTGAATTTCCCTGCAGTAGCACTGTGGTAGTAGTTCAAAATAATACATCTGGAGGACTCCTTGGATGTGAGATTGGCTTATTACACGGTCTCTACCTATACAGGAGAGTGCAATGCAGGATAATGCAAATAAACATTCATGCCTCAAGTGGGATTTGAACAAACTATCCTAGCATTCAGTTTTTCCAAAGTCATATAACCAGTTACATTAAATGAATTAATGCGGCTACAAAATGTCTGTCATGACTTTCAGTGCATGTAAACCTATATTCCAGTTTGAACAGAAGTGTTTACTGAAAAGATGATGCTGGGTGTGGTCCAATGTACAAAAAACTGCTATGTTTACTTTGAACACAATGGTTGTGATATTATATTTTCAATATGGCAAAGATGTGATTATATGAAGTATTATGTACTGAATTAGGATCTTACGTTGTCTGCACAAACTATGACTGTAAGGTAAATGTTTAAACGTGCTGAACAGAATCCAACAAATAAATGAGAACCCATTCTCCACCACCAGTTCTATTGGTCGTAGAATTTAATCTCACCATGTATTTTCATGTCTGTCTACCATTAATATTGCTTCAGAATCCTTTTTACTTTACTGCTTATATTAATTTACCATCACTTCCATAAATCTCAAAGTGAAAGTTGGAGACTCAAATCTGTATATACGAGCAAACAACAAATATATGTGGGACTACAAAAGTCTCAGCTTGGCTACAATGATGGTGTCATTATCATTATAATTATTGTTGAGATATGTTGATTCCATTTCACTTTAAAATAAACAATCCACAAAACTAAACAGTGTGCTTTATAATTTTCCATGATAGTGAAAATGTTAGTTCAGTTGCTGTTGTACAGCATTTGCTACAGGGTCTCAGAGGGGCTCTCACAAGCCCCTTGTTAATTTTTGGTCAATTATCTAAAACCTTTGTTACTGGGAAAGAAATTATGAGGTGATATATCAGTATCAAAATATTGGACATCATATATCAATTCATCTTACCCATCTCTAATTCCAAACACCGATGTATGCTTTCTTGACACTTCCGTGACTAATTTTCAAAACGTCCATTAACTTCCCCATGGTTCTCTTTTCATAAGAAATTTCTTTTGTTATTACAATTTTTAACCACGACTTTGCATTATATGACTCATTGAATATTCTTGAGCCTATTTTTCCGAAACTAACACAGTTTTTGGGTTTGACGTTCTCACGGGTTTTAGTGCCGTGTATTCTGGTAGACTTTTACCAGGTTTCAGAGGTTCTTGCTGCCTCCATTATCAGTCCCGATGGTGCAACAATTCAAAAGACAGTCATCAACAAAACCTCATCATTTTTCGGGACTGTCTCTCCAAATAGAAATTTAAAAAAGCAAAAGTAAATCTGTCCCACTATACACCATGTGGGCGCTTGGGAGGGGGGAGAAAATCAGTTATATCTCCTACTCATTCTTGACCTCAGCACTAGATGGTGAGTGGTCAGCTTCACGCCCCGGCTTTACTCTACCCGGGAAAGGATTATCGGTACCATTTGGATAGAAGGGGTGGCCCCCAGAACTGGTCTGGACGCACAGGATAGAAAAATCCTCTGCCCCTATCGGGGACCGAACCCGGGTCGTCCAGTCCGTAGCCAGTCACTATACTGACTGAGCAGCGCCGGCTCATATTTCCCATTTTTCAAGATCGCGCTGTTTGTGAGAACTGCTCGGTTGTTTAAGTTTTCAGTCACCTGCGTGCGTGAATTTGGGAATAAAAAACTTCCATGTTGTTTTCGAGGCTCTCTTCTCCAACACGGAGTATTCTTTTCCTGCTCAAGGTAGGTTATGCGCCTTTGATTTGGTTTTCGCAATTAAAAAGGTCGATACTATTCTTGTGGTTGACAGTCGAAGAAAAACATTCTCTTCTGCATTTTTATACGAAGAGGTAGCATGGATAGGTGGCTGGACGAATGGGAGTATTAGATATTGTAGATTACGAAAAATAACACGATATATGGACTATTTAGAATACAGGGAAGCCAAAGGTTGACGGAATGGTTTGGCTATCATATTACCAACATGAAACGGAATTGTCGTTGGAAGAAGAAGAAGAAGAATAAGGTATCTAGGTTCTATTAGAATGTGTCCTTTTGTCACATGATAACTTGAATTAAGTTGAGAATTACATTTCGGCCATATATCGCAGACGCCCGGTTGTTCCTCTTCGTGTTTCTGTAGTCAAAAATGTAGTCTTTTTTTTAGCGCCAGCTTTCTTCTTCCATCTATCGGTATGTTTGCAAAAGTTGCATTAGGCAGTAGGCGTGGGTTTCTGTACAGGAAAATTTTATAATCAATGGATAGAGTTTGGTTTGTGCGTTTTGTATGTTGTAAAAATATGCCGGTATATTTTTAAGTTTACTTTATTTTGTGATTACACGAAGTAGCTAAGTGAAATAGTTTTTAAGTGAGTTTTGCTGTTTTCGGATCTACTGTATGAATTCCAGTAATTTCACGGAAGAGGGAACATACAAATGACGCGGCAGCACGGTGCATGGAAGCTTGCTGGGTGTCCAGTGATGGCACCCAAATGAGAAGGATTCGAGTTATTTACATTTACAGTGGCAAATGGTTGAAGACAAGGTCGTCTCACAAGAATGGCTTGTTTGATAACTTTTATTGCTGTTAAAACCATGTGTTTTCTAATGCAGTACTTCAAGTTAATTTCGGCTGGTGCGTAATAGAGTAAGTGTGTATTGGGTTTAACAGAATCATTGAGTTATTATTGATGTGATAAAGCTTGGTAAATTAAATTCCAGTCCTTTTTTTTAAGATTGGAGGTGAACAGTAACAAAATGGATGATGGGCAGGATATTGTTACATGCTTGAAAGGAGGTTCTTCTAGTGAACTGGAGATAGAT